TACTTTACACCCTTCACATTTCAGCAACCATTTTTTTCTCACAAGGGACTATATTGTGTAAATGAAACTTGGATATGTTTTAGTTTGTCTATAGCTTGTTGTGTGGCATGACATAAATTCACTACCGGCTGCAAATGACTGAACAGCAATAATCAGAGATGGTTTAATGTGCGGTACATTGAACCTGCAGTTGCAAGCAGCTGATGAAACTAAAGACATACATTACACTTGCATTGCATTACATGAGTATTACATCAGATACCATGACGTTCTTGCTGACAGGTCGCGGGGGTAGGGGGACGGTGTCGGGGAAGCGGGGGCGGACGGCGCGCGTGGCGCGGCCGGCCGTTACCCGTCCCCCGCCCGTCCCCCGCCGACCCCCGGTCAGGCGCCCGTCGGCGTTCCCCCGACCGCCCACCCCGCCGACTCCCCCGCGAGTCCGCGCGGCGCTCGTCGACGTTAACCCCCGTCCGTCCGCCTGGTCTACCCGAACCTAGTCCAGTTGATGAAGTTTTTCTTTAAATTCCGCAATCATATAAAGTGGTGACTTGACTTAGCGTCATTAGACAATTATTACATAGGTCATGAAAAAAAGCTTTATTTTCATTACTTCGTTATGTATTGATAGCACATGCTTTGACATGAACAAAAAAAGTATACCTCATGAAAATAATTCGAAAAATTATCAAGCTAAGACTTAATTTCAATGCAATGCCTTTGGTGGGAACATTGTCCCTCCCAACATGGCCGCCATGTAGGCGTGGCAGTTAGCTGGGCTGCTTCAGCATGCTGGCATAGCCAGAACTGCCCACTATCTGATGCTTGTTGTGGCGTTTGCTACCATTATGTGGCACATGCAACTTAAAAAAAATAATGAAAAAAGCAAAATACAAACCAAAAAATAAAACCTAATTTGAAAGTTGGGAGGTAGCATTGTAGAGGTCTACCCACCCTCCAGGTGCTTTACGATGCCCCTCAGGCTGTTTCCATGCGCAGCGATGAGCACTCGCTTCCCTTGTTTGATCTGCGGGGCGATCTCCTCGTTCCAGAACGGCAACGCACGTGCGATTGTGTCCTTAAGGCTCTCACAGGTGGGTAGCTGCTCCTTGGTCAGGTCCGCGTAGCGCCGATCCTACACCGGGAACCAACAAAATGTCAAAACGATAACTAGTACATGATGTTCCTATTTTTTTTCTTGCATGCTCTCCCCGTGCCTGTGTGGGTTTTCTCCAGGTACTCTGCTTTCGTCCCACATTCCAAAAACATGCATGGTAGGTTAAATGGACACTCCAAATTGTCCCTGTGTGTGACTGTGAGTGGTTGGTTATTCGTCTATGTGTGCCCTGCGATTGCCTGGCAACCAGTTCAGGGTGCCCCCTGCCTACAGCCCGATGAAGTCTGAGATAGGCTACGGCACTCCCGCGACACTCGTGAGGGTAAATGTATTAGAAAATGGGTGGATATATTTTCTTTTTTTGTTGTTGTTTTGTCTAAACTGCAATAAATCAATTGAACATACAACTTTATTGTTTCCAGGTGATGACAAATACGCGGGTGTGTAGCAACAAAACAGGTCTAGTACAGTGAACCACAACCGATCTGTATGCTTTGAACACGATGCTGACAACCGATTAATCTGCCGATTAATTAATACTTTGGTTAGTTGCCACCACTGATGAGTAGTGTTTACTAGGCTCCCAGTTTGACTCAAAGCTGACCTTTAACCCAATCTTTGCAGTCATATATTAACTCGTCACGCACGATATTAGGTAATACCATTCAGACTGTTGCAGGTCAAGAGCAACGGGTCACGTTACAACTGATTTCACTTATCTGTTGCTAAGGTTAACAGTCACGTTAAAGTCTCCTCTTTTGTTGAGGTGAACACACTTGCGTTGCTCAATGTGTACTCTTGCCTCACAAACCAACGGTTGAGCCCTGTGTGGTGTTTGCATCCCAACCTCACCTTGCTGATCACGGCGTCAAAGTCATGCTCGGGGCCCATGGGGGGAGGAGGCACGTCGAAGGAGCGTCTCCAGATTTTCACCTGGGCCTCGCCGTGTTTGGCGGCCGTCTCGGCCTTGTTGAGGCCCGTTAGGCCGCCGTAGTGGCGCTCGTTGAGGCGCCAGGTGCGGTGCACGGGCAGCCACATTTGGTCAATGGCATCCAGGACCAGCCACAGAGTCCGGATGGCCCTCTTCAGCACTGAGGTGTAGCAGATGTCGAATTCAAAGTTGGCATCTGAGGGGGTTAAAGAACAGGAGGCACTGTTTTTAGACTTGTCAGAATCAAATTTTGTCATAATTTCATGTCGTCACTGTTCTGTCATTAGTATTAAGTCTTTATTATATATGCCGTATTTTTTGAGTGCAACATGAAAAAAAAACACAATATGCATCGTGCAATAAAGTAAACTACAATTTCCAGGTGACAATTCGACTTCGCTTGTTTTTGTACGGCCATCCAGTAAAAGTGAAACAAATACAAAATCAATTCCAATGAAGTTGGGATGGTGTGTTTCACAGAAATAAAACCAGAATATAATGATTTGCAAATTATGTTCAACCTACTGGCACATTTAATTGAAGACACATGTACCTGATATTAATTGACAAAGACGAAAACGAAGGGAGTTTTCACAATCTAGTTTCACAATCTAGGTTCAGGTTTGTAAACACAAGATGTAATTTTAGTTATTTTAAAAAATGTTTTATGTCATTTACAATTTTTCTTTTCATTTTTACTTGTTATTTCTTTCGTTTTTGTTAACTATAACAGCCTTTTTCTTGGCAGAAGACAAAGGACATATGCCCATCGCAACAGTGGTTCTGTCAGGGTACCGCTGTAAACACATTTGAGATTATGTATGT